ACCAAAGAACAATGTTAATTACAAGGATCATTCTTGTAATTTACGTTTTTAAATAAAAAGAACTACATATAAGATAAGACGAATAAACCTCTAAAGGCATAGAAAAAAACAATGACAAATTGTTTACCAAATTTGGATTTAGCGCTTTCGTCGTTGTTTCAATAATGTTTTGTTTTTCTTCACATAATTTCCTATATATGTGATTTCAATACATGCATCATAAGATAAGACCTTTTGCAATAAATTGTCAGACTTGGAAGGAACCACTTTGAAATAAGATTTGCCTTCATACAAGTCAAATGGACCAATTGGAAATGAATTTTCACCACACACAAGACATTGATGAATAATTCATTCAAATTAGTAACAAATTTAATTATAAAAAATAAAATTTTCTTTTAAACAAATAACAAATACATAACGTTGTCCAGACAATGAGTTGTTTGATATGTTTCTTACTATGTCTGATAAGATATTTGATTTAAATTAGTTGATATCACGCTTAGAAGTCTCTGACTTGATCCTGACTCATCTGATATGTGTCTAACCCAGTCAGTTTTAATTCGAGCTATGCAACTTTAAAATGTGTTTGGATGTTTGAAGGCGTGTAGTCGATCAAAACTCGGATATCAAGTTTGCAACACATCAAATTTTTACATCTTATTAGAGGCTTATGATTAGTTTGATTCTCCTGATATAACTAACGTTTTGAATGTAAGAAAAAAAAAACATCTTGTATTTAAATAAAAATGTGGTTTTTAAACGAAAAAAATATGTTTATACGGTTTAAAATGTAACAAAAAAAAATATATTTATACGGTTTCAAATGGAAAATAGATAAAATTGAACAAAATTTGATAAATGATGTTCATTGGAACAAAAAAACATAGTGTCAAAATTGAAATAAAAAATTAAACTTAGTGTCAAAATAAAAAAAAAAAAAAATGAAAACTTAGTGTTTTTTGTGGAAAAAAAATCAATTTCGACACGTCAGCATATCATGTCAGCATGCCACATCATCAAAACTGACACGTCATCATGTAACCTGGTCAAGTGGTCAGAATTGTAACAAATTGAAAAACACAGTATCAAAATTGACAAAAAAAAAAAAAAAAAAAAACACGGTGTCAAAATCGAATTTCTGTGTAAAAAAAGTGTTTTTTGTGCCATTTACCCAATAACCTAAGTCATCCTAAACAAACTAATTCACCCTATCAAAAAACGAGTTCAATTGGAAAGCTAGTGTGAATTAAAATTTAGTTTTTTAATCATAATTTCACATAAATACAACTACTTGATTGTTTATTAAATAGTTAAAAAAACATGGCGATTAAGGAACACCGACTATATTTAAATATTTATAGAGTATTCCAATTTTCCATCATGATTTTACATAATATAACTTCACAAAAAGTTTGGTTGTGGGTGGTAGAAACTTAGGGAATGGAATCATAGCGTTGAATATTTCCAATTATAAAGACAATAATACTACCAATTCAAATTATAATTAATTTGCATAATCCACCCTATTTAAGTCTTATTAGTGCCCTACATTAATAAGTGACTTACCAAACAAGCCTAGACCAAAGATGTGTGCAGGTTGTAGCCCAAAGTCAATATTCAAAGGTCAATCTGAAATCTGAGCTGGAAGTTCTAGAAGATTGTATTAAATTAATACTATGACAAATAAAAATAAAAAAAAAAGGTATTACAGATTCAGTTACAAATAAATAAGATAAATAGTACCACTAGATCTATTATAATAAGATGGCATGATAATAGACATGCATATGCCTAATTCATGAGAATGAAAGATAATCACATCTTAACAACTCAAGTTGAAACTGTTGATTGTAACTGTTGATTTTCTTTAGTTTAATAGCGACATGCAAGCTACCTAGTGTATAAAAGTTTAGTGATACTTAAGGAAAAAGAAAACAAATAATAAGTCCAATCAGTTTAGGTGATAATAATTAATATAATTTAGTTAATTCCGACCTAAATTTAACCACTAAGTTCCAGAACAATGTCACATAGTTACGCTCAGCAGCCTCAATCCAATAACATAAACTATTGGTTCACTATTTTGAATGTGATCTATGAATGTAGTTCCCTTATCCTTAACTAGACAACTAGAGTCTGCCTATATCTTACCTTCTCCTACATCCTTTTGATCGTATTGTTGTTATTGTATAGTCGTTATCCACCTCCGACATGATTCAAATGTTCTCCTACATCCTTAGATATCCTATTAGCATATTTATAAAAGGTTAACAAATAATTAACTACTTATAATCAATTTTTTCGAAAAACAATACAATTTCAACAAATAAAAATATTTCAAAAATTAATTAAGGTGTCTATATGGCAAATTAGGATGTCTTTTTAGCCGATCCCTTATATTATTCATTTTTTTTTTAATCAATTTTCACTAAGATTTTATTCTTATTATCCACATATGACAACATCTAAATGGTTTTGAGGTTCTATTAACAGGAGTTTGGCAATTGGCACTCCTATTTAGGTTGTAAATTTGTAATGAACTTCAGCCAACTCAAGAAAACAAGTTTTCCTCTTCTTCTTTATCTTGGTCTGTTTTCCTATCGACGCATCAGGTTATTTGTTGACTTCTTACTAGAATTAACATTTTATTTTGTTAGTTTTATGGATAATGGCGTATCAGGGTATTTGCTATAATAGGTTTATGGATATTACTCATGTGACGATGTAAAATGTAGTCTTTTTCCACATATAGAAGAAGATATTGACCAAATGTGTAGTCTACGAAAAAAATACTGTTTTTTTTTTTTTTAACTATAGGCTACATAAAAAAGTTGCCTATTTTTTACTTAAAAAAACTGTTTCATTGATTATAGTTTTACAATATTGAAACTAAATTCATTACAAATCAAGAAGCCAAACATTTGCACATTATTTCTATAAATCACAAACTGCAAGAGAAAATGCTTTGTTGCTGTTACATTTCCCTTCTCAACTAAACCATTACACAACAATTAATCTACGAAATATTTCATAATTCCTAACAATATACACTCCAAAACCTCATTAACTACCTTTCATACATAAATATTCTAACCTTCTCGTTCTACTATTTCATTTTTAATTGAAAGAAATTCTCTTTCACAATGGAAGCTATCAAGAATGTGTGATTTCATTTCCATGAAATTGCACTATATATATATAACCAAATCTTCAAATTTCACAAAAAACAAAGAATTGCATCCATGTCATTTGTAAAACATAAAGTTACCCTAAATTACCAAAAAAAAAAAAAAAAAGTATTCATGATTTGGTGATGTGGTTAGAAAAACGATTTTGCAAAATTAAAGGCTTTCTGTCTTTTCAAATAGATTTAAGTAGACATATGTCATATACATTGAAACATAAAATGTAAAAGATCAGTCATTATCTATCTTTTGTTCTTTCCTTCTAGATCTCCTCCTAAATCCATTGTTGCTTTCATCTTTTACCCAATCCTCATGAAACATTTCATCATAAGGAACAACATGTCCATCAATAAATGGTTCTCCTGTGGAGAAGAAAACTGATTTTCAACATTGTATCACATCTCAAATAGTTCTTAATATAAGTGCATTCAGATGATGCTGTGATATTAAAGATAAAATGTATACAAATGCTGGTTGCATATTGTATGAAACATTTTCAAAGTAGATCATATCATATTGGAGAAATTCAACCCCACAATGAGTTTGACATCTCTGAGAATGTAACAGCCATAAATCTTAATGAAACTTAATGCAGAGCAATCTACATACCTCCATAATCGTCTTTGCCATGACAGATATGAGAATCAGGGAAAACCCATCTAACATTGGCCATAGCTGCGAAGAACAGTAATTAAATATCAGAAACAATAAACTGTATCAGAATTTAGTAAAAAGAAGACGATTCTGAATGTTACATTTGATACTACTAATCACATTGTCGTCGATTTTGCAACCAAATGCATAGTAATACTTTGTAGAAACCGAGTATATTGACCTCTTCGCTTCTTCCTCACTGTAAAATCATTCAATTTATCAAACAAAAGCAAGTCGGATCAATTTAGCATCGTCTTACGGATTCTGTCAGCATAAACTACAATTTTTCTTTTTATTAGAAACGTAATCAGTTATCACATACCTACCCAATGCGGAAGCTAGGGTTTGTATATAATGTTCGACAATTTGATGTCGGGACGGGTAGCTTATCGGAGGATCCATAACCACAAGCCAGTGCTTGTAATCACAGCCATCGATCGGTGCTACAGCACGATCCAACTCCAGGCCACGAATTTGAGGAGGCGCGCCGGAGGTTGATGAACGGCGACTGGTTGGAGGAGTGGGGATGATCGGCGCAGCGGACGTGACACGATCAAAGTACTGAGTAATGGAAGTCAGCGGAAGTCGGATGAAGCTCCGTCGCATCGTGAACGTGAATACACCAGAGCTGCACTACCGGTCTGCTGATGTCCGAAACATGGGGACCACTTTTCTCAAACTGTCCAGAAAACCGAATTTCAATGGAGAAATTTTTTTCCACTCTTCACCCATTTTTGACAATAGTTCTATTCATTGTAGTTCTTTCCTTTGGACTGGTGGGTGCAAATGGAGTATGGGCCTATAAAATAAGAAAAACGATAGTAATAGGGTAAAGGGTTCATCACTAGGCATATACCCTCAGAAAAGTCGAACTACACATACCATCCAACCAAGTAAAGATGTCCAACCACATACAAGTGCTGAGCTATACCTAAAAGTCTCAAACCTCGCAAAGCAACAATTAAAAGGCGACATGATGTCACCATAGTCTATAAAGGACATTGGAACACAAAGGGATACATGTTGTATGTAGAAGGGTGATTGATAGAACCTTATACTTAAGAGGAATAGTTGTATAACGGTCTCGAAGTGCTTCTCTATGTACCTTCGAACGTACGACCATAAATGCGATAAGACAACAGACCAGTTCAACACATAAGAAGGCCATGGCATTTCTACTTCGACTATAAATATGTAATCTGATCCACCGTTGCCAGGCTCCCAAGCAATCGCTCATTCATCTCGATTGAGAGCACATACTATGAATTCTCTCAAAGTCTTTACTAACTTTATCATCAGTGTGTTGGCTCGGAATCTCCTCCTAACAACTAGCTTACAAATTTGTGATTGTTTCCAGGTTGTTCATTTTTTAAGGGAGTTGTCTCACTCAATAGTATGGAGACTGAACCAGGGTACACATTAGATGGCATCATCCGTGGGACTCCGCAACAAATAGCCAACGAAGGAAATCTAGTTACCAACGCGGGTCCTGTCACAAAAATGCAAAACTTTAAGGAAACACCACAAATCACGTCGGTGGTGGCGCACAGAAACATAGCAACGGAAGCACAGAAGGGAAAAGGGGTTATGATCGCTTGTAAGAAGAAGAAAGAGAAATGGAGGAATTTGAAGCTTTCAAAAACTTAAAAGCTATGAAAAAGCGACAAGTGGAAAGATGTAATCATAAAGTACAGAAAGAAAGAACACAAAAAGAAAAGGAATGGGATTGATTCTTAACGCACACTAGTCAATCAATGGATTCGAAAGAAACAAAAAGAAGAAACCAAAGAAGCGAATAACATATGAGTAAGTAAGAAAGAAACAAAAAGGAAGTAAGTTCAAAATCTCCCTTGCGTCTTAAGAAAGCAAAGAGAGTTTCCCAACATGAAAGAATGTCACCAGAAGTACCGAAGGCAAAACAGTACAACCATGCATTTCAAAATCTTAACTTCCGATCACCTTTAACAGATGATCAATGAGACTCCCATCCAAAAGGGTTGAAGGGACGTAGAGTTCCAATGTACGACATAACAGGAGATCCTGAGACCACATTTCGAACTTTCAATGGGCCATTAAGATGATTTTAATGGACCCAAAGCTATGGAGTTTGTACTTTGCAGGAACCTTGGATGGGTCTGCCCGATACTGGTTAGCAAGTTTACCCCCCAAAAGTATAGGATCATTCAAGGAATTGTTTCAAAAAACTTACAATAGTTTCATACAACAGAGGAGGTTCCAACATCAGACACATGAAATATTCGGATGTCGACAAAGACTAGGAGAGTCTAACAAGGCTTATTTCAAACGATTTAACAAAATCAGCCGAAGGATGTCGAGAGATGATCCCATGATTATAGTTGTGTTTACCTATGGTCTCCTAGAGGGAGATCTATTTCGTAAGCTGGTAGGTAGAGATTGGGTAAACACAGAGGAGATGGTACGTAAGATCAATCGATTCCTAAAACAAGAGGCAGAGAGTGCGGAAAAAACAAGAATTGAGAGAAAAACAATTGCCAAAGGAGGAAAGCAAGATGAGTGAGCCATATAGTGTCGGGGGTCAAACACCGATAAGCATTACCATTTCGGTCAAAGTAGAAGGTTCACCCAGAAGGCAAGAGGTAAGTAGCATGACTGATTTCAACCATATTGATAGGAAGCAGATGATGCACACACCCTTAGAAGCCTTAATAAAGGAAATATTGGCAGATCTAGGAAATACCCCTGAGATCCCAACAAGTTTTGTGACTTTCACAAAAGTTGGGACATGCTACGGTGGATTGCGAAAGCCTCAAAAGAGAAAATGACAAAGGTCGATTGCTTGACAATAAGCTACCAAGAAGGAATAAATACGAACTTATGAAGCTGAGATCACCATGATATAAGGAAGAGGAGGGATTGATGTCAAGCCAATATGAAAAAGGAAGATGGTCAACATCGAGTTCAACCACCATAACCCAATACCCTATGATCATCAGGGGGCAGATCCGTTAATAATTGTAGCAACAATGGGAAGGACGTTGATACAAAGGATCTATGTGGACAAAAGTAGTTATGTTAACATTATATATGAGCACTACCTAAAAGGTCTACCTACCAAAGTCCAGAAGTACGTTAAGCCAGTCACATCAGTCGTGGTTGGATTTGTTGGACAGTCGTTATGGACAATGGAGGAAGATTTCTTCACCTTTTATAGTGGAAGATTATAGAGGTGGTATTAAGAAAACCATCTTAACATAGTTTGTTAAAATACGAGATCCTCCCCCTACAACATGTTATTGGGAAGAACAATTATGTGGAAATTACAAGTAGTACCGTCCACAGTGCATGGTTTGTTAAAATTCCCTACTGATGAAGGTATCGTAATAATCCAAAGCACGAAATTAGGATTTCCATAATGAAGCCATGCGGTTCAGCCTGACCCATCAGAGACGATCTTCGAAGAACGAAGTTCCTCAGTAGACATATAAGAGATAGCCACCAATTAAAAGCATGTGGATCAAAGAATCAAAGTGGGGGTAGAACTCCCAGATCCACTACAAAGAGGATTGATTAGTCTATTAAAAAAGTATGTAGATGCTTTTGCATGCAAAACCTGAAGACATGACTGGGATTCCTCGATCCTTGTTAGAGCATTGGTTGAACATCAACCCAACATACACTCCCGTCAAGAAGAAAAAGCACATCATGGCTAAGGAAAGAAATGAAATGGTCAACTAGGAAATTAAAGCATTGGTGGTAGTAGGAGTCATGAGAGCCATTCAATTCCCAAAGAGGATTACAAACTTGGTGCTGGTAAAGAAGATGGACGGCACGATGCGCATGTGTGTCGATTTCACCAACCTTAATAAAGAATGCCCGAAGGACAACTATCATTTCCCATAAATAGAGAAGATAATTGAATCATTGGGAGGATTTAATTGTAAATCCTTCTTGGATGCGTATAAAGGTTACCACCAAGTAAAAATGGCAAGGTCGAATGAGGATAAAACAGCCTTCCATACGGAGCGGGGGACGTTCTGCTACACCAAGATGCATTTTGGACTGAGAAACGTAAAACTTACCAGGGGTTGGTAGATAAGGTTTTTGAACAAAATATAGGGAGAAAGATAGAAGTATATGTAGATGATATGGTTATTAACAGAAAAGATGATAATGGCTTTTTGTCAGACGTAGAGGAAACCATGAAGCAACTCAAACAAGCGAATATGAAGCTAAATCCAAAGAAGTGAGTATTCGAGGTGTAACTAGGGGTTATTCGGTTTTCGGTTAAAACGGTTCTTTTTTTTTTCGGTTTTTTTACATTTTAAATTTAACCATAACAAACCAAATAGGGTTCGGTTTATTCAGTTATGGTTTATGCGGTTCAGTTTTACGGTTAAACCGAATAAAATTCAACACGTAAAAATAAATATTAACCTAAAAGAAAAAAGCTTACTAAACTATTACCAAACAAAGAAACTACATTACTATATAACATATTATATTCAAGTTGTAGAGATAGGTTAATATAAGTTTTATTGTATATGAAAATGAAAGAAATGACTAAAGGTTACTTGGTTATTTTGTTTTTGTTTTTTAATACAAAATATAAAACAGTTATAACTTTATATTGGTTACTAACAAAAAATGCATGAAAACCTTAGTAACTAATCAATAATTTATATATAAAATGTTGATATATATATATATATATATATATATATATATATATATATATATATATATATATATATATATATATAAATTCGGTTTTTTCGGTTTAACCAAAACAATAAAAATTTAACCAAAAACCAAACCGAATAAGATATCCTTATTCGGTTAACCAAACCAAATTAACCGAAAACCAAATAACCCGAACCAAATGAACCAAAATTCATTTGGTTCGGTTTGGTTATTCGGTTTTGGTTTTTTATGACACCCCCGGGTGTAACATCCCAATTTTCAAGGCCAACAATTTTTGTTTTTAATTGTGTAATTCATAAAACAGTTTACTTAAACACATCATCGATATCATATCAATCCATAAACAATAATCACAAGTCTCATAAATCATATCATCAATAGTAATAATGTCAAAGTACAATCCCATGGATCTCCAAATGTGGAATCATGTGTGTGCGATGCGTTGCTACCGTGTCGGCTCCTTCCCCTTCGACGAACAGGTACCTGAAATCAAAGCTGAAAACCATAAGCACAAAGCTTAGTGAGTTCCCCCATCATACCACATACCTCATAATGCCTATTCATCAGTATCTTTCAACCGGTAACCGCAAACTAACCTCCCCTTCGGCATTTTTCAACCGGTAACCGGGAGCTAACCTCCCCTTCGGTATCTTTCAACCGGTAACCAGGGACTATTTAACCACTATCACTATCACATAATAGTATATCATGATCATATAGCTAGGCATGCATGTGTACTATCTACCCCTTCGGTATCTTTCAACCGGTAACCAATGACTATTTCACCCCTACCACTACTAACACATATGACATATCATACTAGCACATAAACATAACAAATATCAACATACCAGAAAATTATCACAAAGACAATCATCTTTACTATAATCTCTTACTAATGGGCTGGCCTTGGTGCCTTAGAC